GATGGAAACCACATAACTAGAGGTTTTAAGAGCTGAGTGTGAACTATCAGCTGGTACTTGTCTAGTCCCTGGTGACCTTCATTCTTTGAAAGTGGTTATACTGCACAATATCCTGAGGTCTTTCAGCCTCGCAGTTCAGCAATTCCATTACTTTCCTCTTTTTAGTTTCCCCATCCTATTTCTTTTGACTAGTTTTAGAGCACTACTGTCACTTGAGCATAGACATACTTCTGGGAGCCAAAGGTTTTCTAAACTAGTTCTTGTACCATATGGCCTTTTAAAAATGTAAGAAGATCTTAGATATTTTTTTCAAACATATACTTCAATATGGCAGAAAATAAACCCCATAAAAACAATGCTTCTTTCATGAAAATGCCTTATTCATATGATAGTATAGCAATATATTGAGAAAAAATCCAATAAAATCTTAATTATATCAGGTTAGAGAACCACTGTGTACATAAGTTACATGTACTCAAGTTTATAGTGCCAAATAGTATTCAGTCACCAGGCTGTAAAGATCTACATGGAGTAATTTCTGGACCATCAGCAATTGTGTCCAAAATTTTATCAATTATAAGAGAGGTTTCAGAGGACTGAGAATGGCAAATATAGTAGCTCTTTTTAAAAAAAGCAGAAGCAGAAGAGCTTGGAATTATAGTCTAGTTAAAGACAGCCAGAAAGACACACCAACAAATTATTAAAGAATCCAGATAAAAGAACCAAAAAGATAAGAAGGTGAAAAGAAACAGCCAGCATAGATATAGATTTGTCAATAACAGATCACATCAATCTAATTTCTTTCTTTGACAGGATGACTGGATAACAGCCTAACAGAAGGCAGGAGGTTTGATAAATCCTGACTTCAGCAGGTCTTTCAACAGAGCTCTGCACACTGTTCTTTATAAGCAAGAGAAATGTGGTCTGGAGGATTCAGTGAAAAATGTGTGACTAAGTAGTTGGAAAACAGCACCCAACATAATAATTAGTACAGGTTCTCTGTCAAACTGGATGGTATTTTGAACTCATGGAGGAGTCCCTACTGATGCCTCTGTTCTAGCATGGTTTCCACTTACAACCTCAGTGGTGGGATAGAGTTGCATTTTTTTATACATGGCATTTTTCCAAAGTGACACTGAACAAGAACTGCAAAGCATTTTGGCCATTCAGTCAGAATACAAACCACTCCTCAAGTCCTGGAGAAAGCATTAACAAGTGAACATGAAAGGTAGGCAATATACCTGCAGAATACTAAACTTAGAGAAGTTATATGAGCAGATTTTAAAATAAAGAATAAATAGCAAGATTAATGTAAAACGAACAAACATAGTGGGCCATAAACTAAACTGTGTCTTGCTATTGTGAAAAAGTTTGGAGCTGAAGTGGAAGTCAGAAATGTTGTGTATAAGCTATTGGAGGTGGTGTTCTTGATGTTCTGTTCTCCTTGGGTATTGCTCAGACCTCAGCTGGAGTAATGTTTCCCATTTCGATCATCACACTTCAGAACAGATATAGACAATTTAGAGAGAATCCAGAGAAGAGCAACAGGAATGATAAGAGCTTTGGAAATGTGACCTGCAAGGAAAGGTTGAAGGAGTTGGATTTGTTTAGTCTAGAAAAGGGAAGACTGAAGGGAGGCACGATAATGTCTTCAAATATATAGAGCTTCTTAGAAAGAGTGCAGAGATCAATTATTCTTAGGGCCTGAGTGGGATTTGTATGAGAAGAAAGCCATATAATTTTCAGCATAGGAGATTCTGGTTACAAGGTTTCCAATTGAAAGGGCAGTTAAGGGTTGAAATAGTTCACTGAGGCAGATTGCAGATTTTTTTTCACTGAAGGTTTTTAAGAACAAGTGAGATATGTCATGTTTGTTTTATGTATAGTGAGGATAGGGAATGAATTATCCTATGTCTGTAGATACCTTCCAGCCCTATATATCTCTGATTCCCATGACAATGAAGCATTGATTCCACAAACACACAGAAGGATATTGTGGGATATATCTATAGACTGCTTCTTGACAGTCATTTTTATGACTGCATTGTGGACTGTACTGTGTGTTCCAGAAATTAAAGAGCTCAAATGTCCCCAGTAAAGATCTTTACCAAACTTGTTCTTCAAATAATAAATAATATGAGTTTACACACCTGGATAAAATGAGCAAGATGTCCTATTTACTCTTCACAAAACTGAAATAAACACATTTCTCTTGAAAATATGAAATACTAAAATACTTTGTTTCTTAGAAGAAAAATGACTGCTTGTCAAACCGTAAACCAGTAAGTGGCTAAAATGAACAAAAAGACAATGCCCACTGTTTTGGTAGTCTCACATCTCATTAGAGTGAATTAGACAGCCATAAAATTCTGTGATTTTGTAGCTGATAGCAATCACCACATAAACTGAGACCAATATCGTGGTGTTTGATCAATAGAAGGAATTCACTACAGGATCTGAACCTTAGAGACTATCAACTGTTCTGCCTATGTCCAGATAAATATCTAAGCATAAACAAAGTCAGGGTGCTGTAAGCCAGGATGTGAACTAAGTATTGCTTTGCTCTAAGTATGCATAAGGGGAGGGGGGTGTTGCATTATCACATGAAATTTGTTAATGGCAATGAAAGTTGAACTGATCCCATGAGGATATCAGTGGAAGAATAGCCCTGGCTTGGTAAATCAGCACACAGGGATACCAAGTACTCAACACTCATGAGTCAGGCCCCCAAAACATGAAATCAGCTTTAAAATATGGCTTTATAGTGTTTTACAAGGTTTGTTTCATTTACTTTCTAGGTTTTGAGCCTGCAGTGTGACCAAGATCACATTTTCAGGCTTTTTTCAAGAACCACTTGATAGTCATGAGCTTTATAATTTTTGTAGGAAGGAGGAAAAGAAGTGAGGAAAAGAAGTAAAGAAAACTATACACTTGGAATCCAGTCTCTAATCACTACCAGTTCTTCTGATGGTTCACTCTTCTTCCAGATGTAGGTGAACTGCTTCACCTTGGTCAATATAGTGCGATAGCCTGGTTTGGAGTGCTAAAATACAGGCACCTATCCTGCTTTATTGTCAGTGCACTGCCTAGAAAAATTTTCATTCATGTTACGTAGTTTTCTTTGTGACAACACCTGGACACAACTTAAGTGACAGCATAAGTCAAGAACCAGGCTCAGGAATAAAAAGAAGAGAATCTGGTATTTTTTATAGGACCAATAGTGTTCTTTTTTCTAAGTTTTACTTCCATTTGCCTAAGAAACAGAAGAGCGCACAATGCGTGTGCATCTCCAAACAAAGCTAAGTGACAAGCACCCTTCAAAATCCAGGTGCCGAATGCTTCATTTAAACTGCATGTAAATAAACAAGAAGGAAATCCTGCTACCATTAAAGTTCTCCTGGTAGTATTTAACCTATGGATTTTCGCACTAAGCATTATTGGACAAGAGGATTAGTTAAAAAAGAAAGGAAAAAGTCCCTTTTGGCTTCTTCCATGCTACATTACGGTCTGTGTTGGAAGACAGGGTAAAAGGGATGCCATAGCCTTCACAAAGAAAATAAAAATATAGAGTGAACAAATACAAAGGGAGAGATATATATCACGTATAACCATATACAGCATATTAGTAAATAATTTTTATGTATGTAGGTCTGAATAGGAGTCCCATTTAGATATATATTCACATAGAGATATAGATACACACACACAAACACAAATATTGGATATATTTATACTCCACAACTCCTTCCTTATCTCCAGAACACCTCTCTCAACAACAGCACGGTTGTAGCCTTTTTTGAAACCTGTTTGAACTTTCCCTTACTGTGAGGACACTGAATTAACTTTAAACTAACCTCTAATTTGGGATTTCATTTCATACAAAGCAAAGTCAAAAGCCAGCAGGTTAAGACTGGAGCACTAGAGAACGTGGCATCTCCACTGATACAGTGGGTGGGGAGAGGAAGCTATTAACATGTCTGTAACACTTCGCTTTATACACAACTACCCTGCTTTTAACTCCAGCCTTGGTCGCTAAGGTCAGTCAAGACAGAGCTGACTAATAGTGTCGCTTTCCTATTGCCTTGCGGGCTCACCCCTGCCGCAGCACGACAGCCCGGCGCTGGAGGGGGTGGTGTAACACCTACCCGGGGGCGGGGAGAGAAGAGCTAATCGTGGCTTTTCATTAAATGGTGGATGTTAGGGAAATCAGTGTCGTACCGCCATAGCTACAGAGCTGTTGAAAAGAGAACTACTTAGCCATTCATGAAACACTGTTATGTTAACACGGTAATGAATAGGACAAGGTCCCTCATTGTCAAGCAGGTGGTGGACTTTCACTCCGCATGAAGGGACCTGAGCGCCCAAAATTGCTCTAACCAAGTATAAAGAAGCTCAAAAAACGTAGCTGTCAATTCATTATTTCAAGTTTAAAATAAAAGTGTATGTGATGAAATGCTCCAACAGAAATTGAATCTTCAGAAATTCCAGTTCACAAATGCATCCTCCAGACTGCTCTATGCAGTGGGCCATTCATATAAAGGTATAAGCTAGTGGAGCATGAAGCATTCATTCAATCACATCATTTTTGAATATGAAATAACAGCAGATTTCTTTTCAGAAAGTATTTTAAGCTTTCTACATAGCTGTGGTTGTAGCTGTACCTGTCATTCTCTAGAAAAATGAGGCCCAGATCACTGATCACCAGCAAAGAACAGTGCAGAGGAGTGAGGGCTTCAACCAATGCCTATCCCCTTCACTTTTCCCCAGCTTCATAACTTTAATGCTCAGCATATCAATGTGGTCAAGGATTCAGCACTCCCTACAGAAAACTTTCAAAAGGGAGGAATTTCCCCCCTGAGGCTATTTTGGCCATAGGTACTCCAGTAAACGGAATACATGACTTGGAGAAATCTGGGCCAAATTTAGCACCATAGAACTGAGTCCATCTCTTAGCCTCAGGAAAATACCTAAACCAAGAAGCACTATCTTTCTTCTCCAGGAGAAGACCTTGTATTCTGATTCCATGAGGCAAAGCACTTTTTCACCACTCTTCTGCAGTACTTCAGATGTCAAGAATTGGAAGGTAAGCAGTGTTAATTTTATAGGTGATCTTTCTGATTCATATTATTGTAAATCCTTTCAAGATTTCAAGCAATTCAAGTCCAGTTTTCTCTTCCTAATACAGTTTTTTTTATCAAATACAGCGTTCAGTCATTTCCATTCATGGAGATCTGAATACAGCACCCTTAACTAAAGGGATAGAATACTTTACGTTAGATGTACTTGATATAACTAAATTTGTTACTTGTGCTCATAATGCAATTATTGGTGTAAAGGATAAAAAAATTAGAACCACTAGAAATTTTCTATAAAATATATCTGGGACTTCAATGGCATTCTGGCACGGGAGAATTGATGCACACTTACATAAAATATAACAATTATTAGAGAACCTCAATATCTCTTTTTTAATTAATGATCTTTAGTGGAAAATGAAACATACATTTGCTTGTGGTATATGCTGGAGAAAGCTAAGACAATAGACTTATAGAATCAAATTACTCAAAACATGAAAAACACTTATAAAATGCAGAGAAAAAATTAACAAATAGAATATCTCAAAATAATCCACCAGATCCAAAATGTTTCTCTTAGGCATTCTTCCTGAAGACAGAACTTTTTCTTCCATCTAGTATAGACTGCTGGTATTTTATTTTCTCTACAAAAATAATGTAATATATAATAGAAATGGTAAAAAAATCACAATGACACTAAAAGAATTTCAGAGGTGTCACAGATTTCCCTGTGTAAAGAACTGCCCATACAAAACAGAGTATTAAACCAGAGGACTGAACCTCCCAAACAAGCAGATTCTTTCCTGTGCAAAGGAACAGGTAATTTCTCTAATGTACCCACGTGGAGCAGATTTTCCAGTTCCTTACCTCTACAGTTTCCTAGCAATTCTGTTCCATTGGTGAACTAATAAAAAAAAGGGAAAGGACATAACAACTATAGTGTTTGCTTAGCCTTTTTTAATTTGAAATTAATATTGAACAATTATTTCTAGATTTAAATTCAGACAAAAGACTTTCTACTTGTCCATAATATCAAATGATTCATTTTACTCTCTTTAACAAGACTACGGATTAGACAGATATTTGTTGAAGATGATGCACTGAGAAGCAATTACACATTCACTAAGGACTTCTTTTCAAAACATACAGGCAGAGGTGAAGCTTAGTGAGACATCTGAAACACTACATCCAGTTTTGATAACCCATTGTAAGGAGAACACCAATAAACTTGGACCAGTTCAGCTTAGGACCTCCAGCTGAACTCCACTTGACCTGTAAGTGCTGGTGGAGCTGGGCTGCTCCAGCCTGGAGAAGGGACAATTTCAGGGATCTAAGACCATTCTGCCAGTACCTGCTGAGAGGCTGTGCGGTTTCCATCCTTTTTGTTTTACAAGAATAATCTGGATAAAGCCCTGAATACCAATAACATAATACAGACAATATGATAGTTGTGTATCCAAACTATCATTGCTTATACTGATGATCATATTTTTTGTGGGCCTAATCAACAGGAATCTTAAGTCAGTGTAAGCCTAAGGAAATTTAGGCAAAAAGTTTGTCCCCCTTTCATTTACAGTCAATAAATAGTTCCAGGCAATGTCAGAGTGATTCAGTGCAGTACTGTCTGACTTGCCTCCTTGTTTCTCTCTGTGGCTAGAGAGAAGACAGTATAACAGGGAGACTGATTAAATCATGAAAACTGATCTTCCTTAGTCTCTCACATTCCTCCCTCTATACCGCATATAGTCAACCTAGAGCAGGAGGATTCTGAGCTAGATGAACTTAAATTTTCTGGTGATACTTCCTTTTCTTTGAACCAGCGGTATTCTCAACGCATAGCACGCAGATCCTTGGGAGATGCTTCACTACTTCAGTGTAGCAGTGGGATTTGAAAAGCTCGGAAGGTCCTGCATAATGTGCCCTATTGTGCTATTAAAAGAAAACACTTACTTTTCCTTCATAGACAGGAACTATTGAATCAGGCCCAAAGGCTCCTATTAGTGAATCAGCTCTGTATATTCCATGTGTCTAGATTCACCAACAAGAGAGAGGAATCAGTCCTCAGTTTGAATGTATTAAGAATTTAATAATTTGTATAAATATAGAAAAATTAAATTTTTGTTTTCTTTGTGAATGTTTAATTTCTTGTGTTCTCTTTGATACTTACACTCCAGAAATCAATTAATGGGAAGAGTGTGTCAATTAATGGGAACTGCAGAATTAGTGCAATGGACATCTGAATTCACTTAAGTGGAGTCAGTCTGAGTTTACAGCTGTGAAGATTAGTACAAAATCTGGCCCATGTTTTCTTTTTCACTAGAAGTTTTCAGCTAAAGAATGACACTGTGGCCATCTTCATGACTTTAAATTGACGTCTTTTCTTGCCTGCATCTCATCTCTGTACACAGTATTGGAGTCTGAGTATCAGGTGGGGTTCTTGCAGGAAATCAAAGCAGCACTTCTCACTACAGATCTGGGCTACTGATGTGAAGTGCAGAAACACAGGCTGCATACAATAAGGAACACCTGTGCTCCAAAAAGTCCCTGTCAGGGGATTTATCTTTCTAGTAAGCACTCCTTAAATGCCAGTTATTAAAATGAGAGAAATAAAAGGCCTTTTGTTCCTTCATAGGATTTTAAAAATAATGTTGATACTTGGTAAATCCTTTCAGTGGTGGAAAAATTATTTTGAAAGCAATTGATTATATTTGGTCACTGTCTCAGAATGCCAAAAAAGGTAAGTTTTTCCAACTGTAACATGCAAAAGCAAGTCAAAAAACCTAATTTGTTAAACATATTTTTAAACACGCCAGCAACATGAACTTGTTCTTTTTTTTTCTACTGGTAAGAGAACAAAAAATTTCTACAATATTCATAAATTAAATGTTAACTGTAAATAAATATAAGTCCCACAGGGAAATGACCAGATGAATATATTTATTTTTACAAGGCCAAGCTGCTATACAACTTAAATATTGCAAGCTTTATAAAATAAAATATTTACAGATAGTAATGGGGAGTTTTCTATACATAACTCTTCTAAAAAGCTTCAAACACATTTCAGAGTAGCTTGCATCAGCAATGCACCCTTACTTAACTCCATAAATGTCTGTGTACACATGGGAATACATGTGTATATGCCACTGGCTTTTCAACCTATTTAGGTTTTCTGTTGGACCCTGCATTCAGGACTTCGTTCTGAGCATCCTATTGAGCTAAGGAAGATTCTTACTTACAAAGTACCATAGATAAGATTATTTTTCAGTTCACGTCTCTCTCCCACCCCTTGCTTCTTGGGTCAGCACATTTTTTATGACTTAGGTGTCAATAAGCACTCCACTGGGGCTTGCTTTGCTGAGAAATCAGAATTCAAAGCAAGAATGGGAGAAGGTGGGAACAAAACCAGAAGGTCTGTAATGATGAAAGATATTGTACCACAAGAAAGCAACCCCTTTTTTCTCATTGTCACACACTGTTTAGTGGGTCCTGTAGAACCTCAGCACTGTTTATTGGTCATGGGTTAGCAAGGTGCATGCGGCTGAAGTAGAGGAAAACTGGGTAGGCAGGAAAATGAAAAGGTAGCATAGAAGTAAGAGTTTTGGTGCTGACAGTTGCCCTTGACTAGCTAAAATTGGCAATAAAGGGGACGATATATGGGATAATCTACTGCCACACAATCCCACACACATTAGTACAGTTATGACCAAGTTACAGCACACCTGTCATGCCTAGTCCTTTCTTTTCTGGTTTTCATGATAATGTATTACAAGACTTTGTGGTAATAGCTAAAAAATAGAAAGTAATTTTCTAAACCATTATGATTTTGAATACATTACTCCATCTCAAACTCATTCCAACATTACTGCAGAAATAAAGGAAAATGTGAATTTTAACTGCACAATGAATACAGGAATGGGGAAAAATAAAAATAAGGCATCTGACCACTGTCATGAGTGTCACAGACAGAAACCCTTCCTCTTACCTTTTTTTGTTCTAATTTCGAAGTAATAGATTGTGGTTTAAATTTATTACTCAAATACTCAGAGTATACCAGAGACATTTAAACAACATTTAGGCGTATACATATTGGGTACAGAATTGTGTCCCAGATTTTTCCAGAATGACAGTAGACACTTCCTGGGTATGGGATTTAAAAAAATAATTAGAGGATATGTGAATCTATGTGTTACAAATAGGCAAGTATATCATACAAAATATATGTGAGTCAGGATAAAAGGTCCTGTGAAATAGATTGCATTCTGGTATGGCAGTTCTGTGAATAACTATTTTGAAAGTTAGTTTAGAAAATAATTAAATGTAAAGTCATTTTAATATACAAATGTCTGACAGGAACTTGAAGTCCAACCCTTAACCCTGAAAAAAAAGATAAAATAAATTTAGATTAAAAAAGGATTTGAATTTCTCTAAAACCCACAGAAAATGTTACCATTTAGTAATGACATTCCCTTTCCATTTGACCCCAGCTTGACATGCTGAATTGCTCTGAACATCCGCCACCATGTACAGAAAGTCTTACTTCTTAACTCTTGCTATTCTAATTTGCACACAAAAGTGCATTAAAAAGGATGTTAAGGCTGTGACATAGAACAATAAAAGCAGCAAATTCATAAGTAATTAGGGAATATACTATACCAAATGTTCTCCAGTGTAAAAGGGCATGCCATTACATCACAGGCGATAGAGTTCTATGAGAAAACAATAGAGTTTTCTGATATGTAATGCTGTGCTCCTGTTTTATGGGGAAAAAAAGAGTGACTGCAGCTGGTAAAGAGAGACTAGAATATATATGCTTATAAAATATTGGGTAATTCAGAGATGAAGTCAGCAGTCTTTCAGAGGTGTGGATATACAAAGGACTGCCTAAAAAATGTTTTAGACCTCTATTCTCCTATGTAACTTATATTTATGAAAGCATCAAAGGCATATTCACTTATCTCCTTTATCTTTTCTCATAGTTTGCTCCAAATCCCACTGAAATCAGGTGGAGAGAAATAGGGATCAAACAGTACAAAGGTGAGAGCTCTTTATTCTTCGTATGTGTGAGGTACCGTCTGATTTTTTCAAGGAAGGCTGAATGCACTAGACTGATGCAAACAAAGGCTTAAAAACCTGCTTTAATCAGGTGAAGAGTTCCAAGTTCCCACAGGTTTCAGGCACTGACAGAGTTAAGTGCTAACATGTTGGCAGAGGGATGGCTCGGGGAGTAAGGTGGAATTTGCTATTGGCCCACTAATGTCAGTGAGATGTACAGCCGCATCATAGGCCTCTGGGAGATGACATTGCAAGCTCTTTGGGAACATGCTCTGAAGAAAGAGAGAGGGAGTTGTTTTACATATATGAAACACCCATCTCAATTGTAAGTGCTAAATAATGTATCAGCACAGTTCACAGGCATATAAATTTTGCTGAAGGGGGAAGAAGTTGATAATAGATAATACTTTTGGTGTTATCTATCAAGAAGATATGAGGTCAAATTTCCTTGAACATTGTAAGAAATATTGTAAGGTAGTATTTTTTTGTTTATATCTCTAAGCCCCATTTTGCTTGTTCCTTTCCCCAGAGATCTTTCAGAGATATTTTCTCAATACCAAGCTGTCAGTGTTTCTGCAGAAGCAGCCCTGCCACTGCGTAAGACTCTCCCAGTCAGATCTACCATAATTACAGTCTGTGTCTCCTCCAGAATCACCCATTTGTACTCCATTCACAATGGCGACTGAGTAAAGGGAGCAGTGACATGAATGATAACAAAACAGTGATAATTTTTTTTAACAGATTAGTTCAGTCTCTGAATCAGCACACAGACTATGAACAAGCAGCCAAGAGCTTGTGAAGGGAAGGATATTACACACTCCACTTAGATGGGATTATGCCCCTGCAGAAATGGGCTTTGGGTCTCCTCCTTCTCTTTTCTTGCATTCAGACTGTTTCCTGATCTTCACAAAATTTCCAGTATATAAAAGCTAATGAAAAATTTTGTACTTATACTTCATAAATACATTCTGGGTAGAAACACATTTCTAGTTGGAAGACAGGATGCTAGTTATATAAAGGGGTTAAACTGTTAAATTTACCGCATGCCATTAAAGATGGTGGTTACAAACTCCTTTTTCAGAGGAATCTGACTCAACCTAAAGGACAATTCTCAGCATTTCTTGATGGCATTTTGTGGGTTTTTTATGGAAATTGAAGAACAATGGAAAACAGATAAATGAACAGATCAATCATACGCTTATTCATACATGGTGTTCATTTCTTGCAAGTATTCAGATGATCACCTAGTATTTGTAAAAATGTTTTCGGTTCTGAAATTATTGTATAAGTAGCAGTTGTCTGGGAATCAATATCAGAACTGTGTTATTTTTTTTATTCACTATTTTTAAAATAACATTTTTCATTCACTCTTTTTCATATATTATTTTTGTATTTTAGAAATGTCTTTCAATTAAAGAGCAAAAAAGATCATATTTAATCAGATAAAAAATCTCAGTCCTTCTGCCAACTGCAAAAAGCAGTCAGCTGCCTCAAAATGGAAGGAAGGTACTCCTAATACTTTCAATGGGATTTGGTGTCAGGGAGTAGCAAGTATGAGGGTGTTCCAAGAGGGAAGACAAGCCAAAAGATGATGACACCAGCAGAAGAAAAATTCTCTTAAGAGACTAATGGAGGTAAGGGAGAAATTTCCTCTCCAGATGTCAATAAAAGAAGTGTTTTACCCTTGCTGATTTTTCATGTCTTAAGTAGGTCTGCCAAGGTCCTTTGTAAATACTTTCTAACTGCCCTAAGTTTGAGAGTCAAGATTTCCTTTACAGTCCCTTCACACTATAGACATTTGGATTTCTTCTTCCCAGTAGTCTCCCTAAATTACTTCTTAGCATTTTGACCCACAGGCAGTGAAATACACGTGCTTAGCTGTAGGAACACATTTTTTCATTTAATACTTCTAGAATCTTTTCTCTATCCCAAGGCCTATATGCCTGTGTGCATTTCACTTATCACCCAGTTTGCTTTCTTCTAGCACTCCTACATCTCCTATAACCACAAGGTCTCTGATGCTATCGCTCTGATATATCTTGTTCTTTCACTGTAAGGTCTCTTGTTCTCTCACTCCTAAATATTTCTTGGTATAGCAGGTTTCTCCAAGTTTCACCCACTCCTTAAGTCTGTTGTTGTCTGTTGTCTGTTGTGTTGTGAACTGTTAATACAAGTGTGAAACAACTAGAAAATCATGTATTTTTTCTGAAAGATAAAGTAATTTTGTTAATTCTTTGCCCACGTTTCTAACCTCTCTATGATCCTTTGTGTTATTTCTTGTTTCTTGCACTATCTCTCATTCAGTTAGTACACAATAACACTGTTAACATTCTGGCTGGTGCTTCATCTCAAGATCATTAATTGCACTGTTAAAGCCTGGACCTACTATTTAAGAGTACCACTGCCCTCCACAGGAGAGAATGGCAGACATACTGGATTGTGTCCAAAATACCTTCTCTTTAAAGCCACGCCTTATGGAGAGTCTTATTCATCTCATCTGGCAGAAACCATTGATCGTCAGGGCAATGGTCTGGAAGGACAGAAAGGTGACAATGGTATATTCCATGTGTTGGTGAGATCACCCAGGGAATGAAGATTCTCAGAAACCCTGCCCATCTATTCTTTTTAGCCAGTGCCAACTGGCTGTTGTTTTCTTTTCTGCTTCTGGGTAAAACAAAACACATGAATACTTCCTCCTTAACTTTGCCACTTGATCAACAGCAGACAGAAAAGTTAATCCTTTGCTCTTCTTGTGAAAGCCTGCATCGTGCAATTACCTTCTGTGAGTTGCCTCTCTGTTAATCCATACCTCCCAGAGCATATATTCCTTCTTCCTATTAAATCCTTTCATTTTGGAACTACCTCACTTGCAGAGATACCTTACTGTCTAGTCAAAAGCACTTGAGTCTTAAAGCCAATGAAGTAATTTAGTAGATAATTTCTCCTGTAAATCCAATGCAGTAATTATTGTACACTGAGAGACCTACACCTTCTTTCTCTTAGCTTTATCTTTACCACAGAGACTATGAAGTGTCCCAAAGTTCTGTAAAACTCACTTTCATAGGATCAGTAGCTGCTACTGAACCAGATCAAACAGAAGAAGAAAGCTCTCAGTGCTTTCCTAGTGCCACTCAGTCTACTGAACTGCATCCTTACTTTGCTGGTGTATGGTCCTGATTCACCACTACTCCCAGTCAATTATACTGCAGTATGGCAAATACTGAATAACTAAATTTGAAAATAGTAAGTATATTGCACAAGAGAACATTTCTTTGGGTGCCTGAATGTTTTTCACTTTATCTAGAAGCTATTGATTAACTGCATTACAAAAGATCAGTTCCCAACACAGAGAATTAGGACTGGCCACATCACTCTCATTAACATTAACAGGTGTGCTCATCTATAAACTCAGTCCTTTACCTTTACATGTACTGAAGTATTCTGAGATAAGACGATCACAGAGGGAAAGTGAGTAATATTCACTCCTTCACTTCTGGTTTACTCTAGAGAGGTTTCACAACATCAGCAATAAGTTCTCTTTTTTTTGTTCCCCTATAAATAAACACGAGAATGGCCAGTTTTGCCAGTCATTATTTATAAATAACAGTGTGAAGTGTTATCTCAAAAGGAAATTTTGGTAGTGAAGTTGCATATCCTTTACAAGAAGGATTTACAACGGGAACATATATAGAAAGAAGCTATACCCTTGGTATTGTAATTAAGCTTTTAAAACATCCGATAATTTGGTGTTATTTGTTTTTCCTTTCTTTGATGAACTGATAAATGTCACTTGAATATTTGCATGAGCACTCAGTAGAGAGGCTGGTTTTCTTCAAAAGAAAATAGCACGCACACTTATTCCTCCTCTGCTGTATATAAATTCTAAATAGTACCTTGGCAGAATTATGAAATAAAAAATGAATGCTTTTAAAGGCATTTGTGGAGTCTGGGGCATAAACGATAGAATTTTCTTATATTTCTCATATATGCAGATAACAGATACATTTAATGCAAGAAGGAAATAGAATTTTAATAGAATTTTTAACTAAAGATCTTGAAACAAAACTAGACATACATTTTAATTGAATTTCTGGCTCAAATTACAGCAAACCATTATAAATCATTAGGAATCAGTTTTAAAACTGCTTTCACTTTTACCCGTATTACAAACACAGAGGTAAGCTTTTACAGCTACAGATAAGTGTTAATAAATTACCCGAATTTCAAAATTAATGGCTGCCCGGCTGCTTTGGGGAGATATCATTGTGTTTCATGAATATTTTGATTTTGTGATTAGATCAAAATGCACTGAATTCCTAAACAGTCATAACTAAGGTCTGCTGATCATAAACTGTTCTTTTTTAATAAATTATATTCCTCACAAATCTGCTGATATGGAATAATTAGAAATTGGTTGCCTGCATTTACTGTAATATTTGCATGACTTTAGATCTCCACCTACTGATCTAGTGGCTGGCAGGAAATGTACATTTTGTACATTTCTAAATATACCTTGCCTGCAGAGATAATGGTTTATATTGTGATGTTAAGAAGGTTTTTATTTGCAAAAAACAAAGAGGTGTCACTTGCCAGTTCTGGAAGACATTGATTAGGCTGTTTATGTCATTCCTATTCAGAACTTATTATTTACAGCTTTCCTGTTTCCTTTCCTTTGTAGGAGATAATGATCTGTCTCCTGTAAACTGCTTAAAGTGTGTCTATTTTCTCTATTTTTTTTTAGGGAGTCTTGAAATACATTTTATAGAAGGCAAGCATATTGAAATGGAATGTTAACGGTGTAAAATACAGCATATTAATCGAAAACCATATCTGTCTGTATAATCTTTAAATTAAGTGGTATACAAATATTTATAGTTAGGGAAAATGAAAATTGCAAATCCATTTTTCATTGTGGAAGGCACATGTATCTGAATGTGATCCTGTATATGTAAGACATATACATTCCACAATTAAACACAGTTACATTTTGGGTACTATTCATTTTAACAGTACTGTACACGTGCATATCTGGTTTTTTTCTACAGATCTTTGAGGGAAGGGAGTGTACATTGCTATCTAGCATTCAGCTCTCAGAATGGCCTAAGCACACAGTGTCCATATGGATGCTTTATAACCAGGTGCTTTATGGAATATTTCCAACTTAGAAAGGTGGCTTCACTTTTCTGGCCTATGCAGTAAAGATTTAACATATTAATGCTTACTGTATTAACATCATCAAATGTTAAAATCAATGCATTGAAGGGACAGACTACAGCCTACTACATAACATACTTAGATGACAGAAGTATATTTGGCATATTCACAGGTTAAAAATAGAATAATACTCCATTTCAAAAAAAGCAAACAGAAATTTTTACCATTGCTGTGGCTCTGTAATGTAAATGATAAATCAAGGAGAAAATACTGACGACAGGCAAAATCTTCAGCCAGTTCAAAAGACTTGTAATTTATTCTAATTTTTGAAGAAAAGTTGACCCTGCTGCCTATTTTCTCCCCACTGCTACCATAGTTGTTTCAGCAGCCCAATGAACAGCTTCTTATTCCCACACTGGACAACTGGTCCTGTAAACTAGAAAATACATGAAACAATCAAGGATGAAGCTGTTAATTGCTCACAATCATGCTCCCTTTTCAATTCAACCAAGTTTTTGTGCTGTTTATTTTATGGGTATTTATCCCATTCTCCCTGGCAGTGTGACCTACTTGCATTAAAACTTAATACTGAGTTTCAGTAGTAATGTATCCTATATCAATTTCAATTCAACCCAAATTAAATCTGTTTTCTTTGTTAAGGTGAATAAAATCAGTGCTGTAGAACAACTCCAGTGCCTCCACTTTTTTAATCACATGTATTGATCGATGCTTCATCATTAGTCCTCAAAACTGCCACAGAAATACTAATCTCTGTAGAAAGTGCTTCTGCAACCGTGAAAAATCTGACAATTAGGCCAAACAGAGGTTAATACATGTTGTGATAAAAAACACGGTCATATGTGCCACGTCCTTTTTACCAGGAGTCTGGTTTCCATATTGGAAACCATGGCTGCAAGTCCGTGGTTGAGAGCCTGGTGGAGTGCTGGCTCTACCTTAAGCATATTGTTTTTCTAGTTCATGAGTAGCTTCTGGTCAGAAGCAAACCCATATGGCAGGGTATGTCATGTGGAGGGGTTTTCTCTGTCTACACAAGTGGGGCACATTGCCTAGGCAAGGGGGTATGTGACCCACAGCCATCAGAAACATAGGAAACAGAAAAGAAGGAAGATACTCTCCTAGCACCAAACTTTAGGTGCCTAAACTGGAAATTTTTGGATCACCAATGGTTTCTTCAGCAAAATTTTCTGACAGGAATTTGACTTGGGCTACCTAAACTTTTCACTAGAGGAAACACTCGGTCTTCATTAGCTATATTGGAAGCTGAGAAAAACCAGCCTCCTGACTTCAGCATGAAAATTAGGCATCTAATTATGCAAAGAACAAATAACTTTATAAAGACAGCACACAGTGCAAATAATTAATAATTGAATTGATCTGGGGTGGTGCTTGTTTTGGTTTATTTTTTTTCTAAATTGTTAAATTACAATCCGC